TTAACCAATATGTATAGTTTTTTAGAAAAATTGGAATTCTCTTCTCACTTGTAGAGATCTAGTATTTTACAACCACATTCTTACTTATGATCAACATAATTACACTACTTTTGCTCCACTACATCTGATTTTGGTTACTATTCCTTGGATCCCAAATCTACTTTTGAGATTTCTCATTTTGTTCCAGAATATCCCCTGGTATTGGTTCAAATATATACCTCTCTTTTGTTGAGGCTCAGAGGGAGATTAATTTTGAGAACTTTAATTTCTGAAACTGTATTTTGCCCTCTGACATGAAAAACTTTAAATATCCCTGCATCCAAAGTGGGTCATTAAAGTTCTGATTTTGTTCACTTTGCAAGTAACTGCCTTCACATTTTGGAATATAAGATACTCTTTTTGAAACTTTAAAAAATGTTCTTTATATCTGATCTGAAACTTTGTGAAGACATATCTGGTGTGCATGTTTATAGTTTTTGTCTGGCCAGGAATGGACCCATTTGGTCTGAAGACCTATGCTGTGCTTCAGGTCTAGGGCATCTATCTCCTTGAGGTTTTTAAAAATTTCCCGCACTTTATTGTGTATCCATACCCTTCTTTCTCCCTTTGAACTCCTATTAGATACATGTTGGAACACAAGCCTTTTCTTTCATGTCTCATTTCTATTTTTTAGTTCATTTGCATTACATTTTATGGAATCCTAATCTAAAGAGCTTGCAAATTTGCTCTTAGGGATATCCTTCCTATTCTTCAGCACAACTACTGTATTTGTAACAAATTCTACTTTCCATTGTAAATATATTTAAATGCTTCCTTAACAGTTGATCTGCAAATGCAATAATCTCTTTCTGAGAAGATACCATTTCAAAATAATGATTTCTTTAAATATTGGTACTTCTGTTTGGTGACTCTCTTCATGGTGTTGCTTTTCTTCAAATGTTCAGTAACTATTGTTCTCAATATGAACTTGTGTGAGAATGTTATTTGCTTACTGCAAACTATTTTCCCTAATGATGGGCAAAAGGAAGGACAGGACATTGGGTAAGCCTGGTAAAATGGCTTGTATTGGTTTTCCCTTCTAATATAATCACTCACATACATCATCTTCTGCATAGTGCTTGGCATAAAAAAGGTGGTAATTATAACCAACCTCATATGATGCAGTACTCCCAGCATTATCTACAACTCCTTGATCTTCTATTCTGTCTCTACTTTTGAAGCATCCCTGAAGCCAGATTCACCTTTCATGGTAGAATTCTCTGGCCCTATCTGTCCTAGGACTTCAAAGAATTCCTTAAAATTTATCCAGTGCACTTTTATTTCTCCAAACTGTGGAGATTAAACAATACTTTTACCTATCATATTATGAAATAATCTTTTCTGTAACTTCCAGGGATGTGGATGGGAAGAGCTTGAAGGATGCACCAGTGTACAATCTTGAACAATTTACTTTGTGACAGCTAAGCCTGCACATGGTTCCCCCTATTTTTGGGAAAATGAATGCTCTTGAAGGATGACCCAAACGTGAAAGATGTTTTAATACCCATTCTGGGATAGCATTAGTTCTCAGAGTATTAGGTTTTGCTTTTCATGAAGATGAGGAGCCTTCCAAATCATCCACCCTAAAAATCCATGCGCTGTGCATTTATTTTTCTTCAATGCTTAGTTTTCTTTAGTTTTTCTAACAACAACAACAAAAAAAACACCACATTAAAGAAAAAAGAGATCCTTCTAAAGCTGTGCCTTGGAGGAACAAAATTGTTTTGATTAGATTTAAGGAACTTCAATTCAGGAAAAATATGTATAGACTTTAACATGTTTTCATGCAAAATAAAAATAGCTCTATTGAATCATGGTGGAAAGTGGTACAATTTTACACTATGGACTTCTTCCTTTACTGGTGATATGTGAGCTTTTCCTATCATCCTATAATTAGATTGAGGGCTGATCAAGAAGCTGGATGGGCCACATGAAATCCCAAGGGAGATCATAATTGTCTCTAATTGTTATATGAAAAGGAAATTATCAGCAGAATTATTTTTTTTACCAGTCTTTTCCCTAACAATCCTATAGAAAGGTTTTAGGAGTAACTTAATTGTTCTTTAAAATAAAAGCTGAGGAGATTCTACTGAGGTGTTCTTCCTAAAAGACTTTCTCAGTTTAGAATGCAATTGTTTCACAAAGAGAATGAATGCGTAGTCCTAAAAAAAAAAAAAAGAAGATAGCATTGTCTTTTAAGTTTTCCAAAACTGTAAATGACTATGCTATCCCCTGGGATTAAAAATTCTGCAGAAGGGCGCCTGGGTGGCTCAGTTGGTTAAGCGACTGCCTTTGGCTCGGGTCATGCTCCTGGAGTCACAGGATCGAGTCCCGCATCAGGCTCCCTGCTCGGCAGGGAGTTTGCTTCTCCCTCTGACCTTCCCCCCTCTCATGTGCTCTCTCTCTCTCTCACTCTCTCTCTCTCAAATAAATAAATAAAATCTTTAAAAAAAAAAAAATTCTGCAGAAAAACTGCAGCTTTAGGTATAAAATAAACCTTTTCTGAACTCTCTATTAAGAAACAAGAGGGCGCCTGGGTGGCTCAGTTGGTTAAGCGACTGCCTTCGGCTCAGGTCATGATCCTGGAGTTCCGGGATCGAGTCCCGCATCGGGCTTCCTGCTCAGCAGTGAGTCTGCTTCTCCCTCTGACCCTCTTCCCTCTCGTGCTTTCTATCCCTCATTCTCTCTCAAATAAATAAAATCTTAAAAAAAAAAAAAAACAAGAGGAGAGGTAGGGGCGCCTGGGTGGCTCATTTGGTTAAGCATCTGACTCTTGATTTCTGCTCAGGTCATGATCTCAGGGTTGTGAGACTGAGCCCTGTGTTGGGTTCCACGCTGAGCGTGGAGTCTGCTTAAGATTCTCTCTTGGGACACCTGGGTGGCTCACTCAGTTAAGCGTCTGCCTTTGGCTCAGGTCATGATCCCAGGGTCCTGGGATCAAGCCCTGTGTTGGGCTCCCTGCTTGGGGGGAGCCTGCTTCTCTCTCTCCCTCTGCCCCTGTTCGTGTGCTCTTTCTCTCACTCACTCTCTCAAGTAAATAAATAAAATCTTAAAAAAAAAAAAAAGATTCTCTCTCTCCTCACCCTCCTCCCCGCAAAAATGGGTAGCGGCACCTGGCTGGCTCAGTCAGTAGAGCACAAGACTCTTGATCTCAGGGTTATGAATTCGAGCCCTACTTTGGGCATGGAGAAGAAAGAAAGACAGAAAGACAGACAGACAGGAAGGAAGGAAGAATGAAAGAAAGAAAAAAAAAGAAAAAATAAAGAAAGAAAAATAAAGAAAAAAAAGGAAGAAAAAGTAAAGAAAAAAGAAAGAAAAGAAAGAAAAAGAAAAAAATAAAGAAAAAGAAAGAAAAGAGAGAAAGAAAAAGAAAGAAAAAGAAAGAAAAAGAAAGAAAGAAAGAAAGGAAGAAAGGAAGAAAGAAAGAAAAAGAAAAAAGAAAGAGAAAGAATGAACAAACGATCAGGAAGAAAGGAAAGAAAGGAAGAAACAAGGGAAATACCTAAAAGTTGGAGCAGGCTGCCCATACAATCTAGATTACCTTGTAAAAGAAAAGTGGTATTGGGGTACCTGGGTGGCTCAGTCATTGAGCGTCTGCCTTCGGCTCAGGTCATGATCCCAGGGTCCTGGGATCAAGCCCCACATTGGGCTCCTGCTCTGCAGAAAGCCTGCTTCTCCCCTCTCCCACTCCCCCTGCTTGTGTTCCCTCTCTCGTGTCTCTGTCAAATAAATAAGTAAAAAAAAAAAAAAAAAGACAAGTGGTATCTTATTCCCTTGTACATCTACTATGTGTATTAATGTTTTTGATGAAACATAAAATTATTCTGATTTCAGTCTATTTCATAAGAAATCTATGTACTATACATTAAACCAAAAAAGTAAGCTAATAAGAATTTCAACAGAAGGAATGAAAAAAATAGACTTTGAAATAGATTTCTCACCAGTCTTGAACTGGAAAACATTTCCCGTTCCAATGGCTTCCTTTAAAAGTAAAAAACAGTAATTTAAGGTAAACTACACTTCCTCCATACCCAGAAATACGAGGGTTTAAAGTGCCAAAAAATTTATTGTGTATCTTTCTATGACAATTTTTCTCACCCTGAATTTCATAAAATAAATCACATAACTTTAAACAGCATAAGTTTATCACCTATTCACGGTGTTACTTCAAGCACTCTAAATAAGGACAAAAAATTGGAATGTTTTACAAATGCTGATAAAAATATTACAGAGCTAATGGGATTTCCTTTTAAGCACAAGTTAATACTTAAAAGTTTAGTTCTGTTTATGCCAATGTATGTATTTAAAGAAGTTTTCAGGGGCTCCTGGTTGGCTCCATCAGGGGAGCATGGAACTCTTGATCTTGGGACTGTAAGTTTGAGCCCCACGTTGGGTGTAGAGATTACTTAAAAATACTTAAAAAAAATTTTTTTTTCAAGTATATACACAACTTCAAGTCCAAAGAGTTCAGAAAAATATTTACATAATAAATATGTAAGAAATTTTAGAATTTTATGGATTTAGATACTGATGATTCCCTCATGCAACAGCATAAAATGTCAGTTTATGTAAAGAATTCTGTACAGAATAAATTATTGTGAACATATAATTTTTAACAGTTTAAAATTTTAGGGTGCTCAATTTTAAACACTATCACTAAAAATGAGAGAGTTTTGGTTGTGATGGTTTGCTACATAATATTTAAATAATGTCAGTTATGGGTATGGGCCCTGACTACAAATTACTCAACAATATGTAAACTAAAAATGTCTTCATTTCCTTGGAAGATTTAAACTTCTATTCAAATTTTGAAAGCTTATCATTACCAACCAAAACAAAAATTCTAACAAAGAGTTCTTACTTCATTTTAATTTTCCAATATTTTAGAAGAAAATTATGGCTATTTATAATTAAAGTGCAAAACTTTTTTGCTATTAATTTTTTGTTATATAATCTATCACATTACTCTTCCTTGGTAACTTTCTTACTCAACTATATGTGTTATAAGAACATTAAAAAAATTTTTTTAACTAGCTAGAGGAGAATAAAATACTAGTGCATGTAATACTTGCTGCACTTGTAATATATCAATATAATATGCAGACAATTAACTTAAAGTTAGATCACTAATCAATCGTTTTTTGTGGCTATTTTCCTTTTCCAAAATTATCTGTGTATCTGATGCAAGATAAAGTAGTTGAAAATGTCACAATTATATCTATTTTATGTATTCCTTATTAAAAGTAGAATGTGACTGAAAAATTGACTGAAATAAAAAAAGGATGTGCCAAAATTAGTATTTTAAAATAAACTATGAATAAAGGGAACACCGAGGCTTGTCTTAAGAAGCTGTTTGTCATTATTTTTTTTTAGAGATTACAACACACATACAGTAAATGAATTTTATCAAAATACAGCACATTTCTTCTACTATATCCATAAAAATCAATTCCTATGTAAATAGTACTGAAAAACAACTAAAATGAGTTAAAATTTACAAAGAGTTGTTAAAGGGTTTCAATCAATATTATTAAAACTATACAGTACAATAACCAAATGATAACATCTTGAAAGAAGTGCAATATTTGAGTTCACATCTTTTGAAAATTACTGCCTATTTACTCTGACTAGCAAGAAAGGAACGAGTTCAACTTTTTTTGCAAAAATAATGTAAATTGCTGTTTTTGCTAGTCCTATAAAAGTCTTAATTAAAACAAGGTTGAAGAACAAAGCATAACAGATTAAAAAGTCCAAAATTATATTTCTTAGTAATTAAAAATGAATTGCAATAACTGAATATTGCTCTAATGAAAGGCTCCAGACTAGCCTCGACTAAACAGTTACTGGTCTTCTGTGGCACTTTTTTCTGGTCCAAATAACCATGCATTAATTCTTACCACTGCATGTTATTCAAATTTTATTGAATTACAAAGAACAGAAACAAAATTAATGGTTTGGATGAACAAATTAATAAACATCTATGAAATATTTGTTACACTAACGAGGAACAAAGGCAGCTGGTGGTAAAACACTATTCTATTACACTGATACACTTAGAAACCCTTTAAAGACTCTGAAGTGTCGGGTTCACATTTAATGTTACCTGTAGGAACAGCCCTTTATTTGAATACCTTTACAGACTGGTAGGCCTCAAGGACCCATCCCTTTGCTCTACAACTCTCCACAGCAATTCTCTATCACTGTGCCAATTTCACAAACTTGCTTTGGTTTCCTAGCTCCATGCGTACTATATTTCCTTTTACTTTACCAAGGCAATGTGAGACCAAACAAAAATCAAGAGGCTTTCCTAAATCTGCTTACACTTTGTGTTACAGCAACACAATCTTTTAAAACTGGCCATTTGAGTTTCATTTGCTGCTCAAAATAAAAATTATAAATTAAGATTAAAATGGAATACTAATTATAAAACAGATTGCAAGGACCACCATTTGCAAAAAATCAAGAGATTTCCATATCACAAAAAAATGCACGGACATGCATCTACAGAAGAGTTAAAAATTTCCTGTGACTAAAAAATTAAAAATTGAATCACCAGTAGCAAATGTACTGTCAATGGCTATGACAAGAACAGATCCTGTAGAGCTCATAAAATGCAATTATTGTCTTTTTTATTTCTTTAAAAAGACACTACATTTTTATTGCATTATTTTATTAATAAAAACACATTTAACAGCTATTTTCTCAATCTTTGCTTCCAGATTTTTATAGGAATTAACTGTTTTAATCTGGCCTTGGAAAGTGAACCCACCAGCACCACCTTCACCTACTCACTCTTCAATTCAATATGCACATAGCAAAAACCAACACTTCAAATCTCTTGCCCACATTAAAAAAAAGTAGTTTCAGCAGAAAAACATTAATACGAGTTGAATAAAAATAAGGGCACAAAAGCTATGAGACAGAAAGCTCTGCCATCTGTCTCTGGGCTACAATCAAGGCTAACTAGAGCCTTGCACAGAGTTCAGTCATGTGTGTGAAATCCAAAAATAAACCTACAATCTATACAAAAACAACATATGTTTGTTTTTGCAGCCTTGATTGCTATGTTTAAAAACCTAACAAGAACTTTTATATGGTATGAATTCAACAGTCTCCCCTATATACTGTACAGTGGTTCTTTCCCTCTAACCACAAGTTCCATTATTTCATTAATGTACAAATTTGAACATAATTTTTTGAGTTCATCTTTACATATAAAAATAGTCAAAATATTAATTTCCCCTGCAAATATCTTCCAATAAATCTTGCTGCCTTTCCCCTTTTTTTGTCCACAATTCTTACGAGGAAACCTCTCGTACAATGATGAGTTCTACTGTGTTCTGGAAAGTTTTTAGCAAGGACACTGCTTGTCCATGTTCAATATTGATAAAACTGTAGCCATTAGCCTAGAAGAAAGAAGAAAAATGTCTTTAAGAAAAACATTTCATAGTAATTTACTTGCATCTGTACATTTAAATTTCTGCTGGTAGTGCACAAACCTGGCAGAAAATAAGAATCATTCTGGCAATTTAAAACATCATGTAGATTCCTGGGCCTTACCCCACATCTATGAAATTAAAATCTCTGAAGGTGGGACGCAGGAACCTGCACCCTGTCTACGTTTTCAGGTAATTCTTATGTAGCAACCCAACGTTAGGAAGCACCTGGCTAAGACACAGTGCCAGGCATGGTGTTATGTGTATGTGCTAACGTGTAAATGAGGTCACCAACATGCAAAGATAGCAGAGGGCAAGGCTTACTCTTCCTATTGCCTTGGGCCAGCAGATAAACACTATATTTCTTTTTTTTTTTTTTTAAAGATTTTATTTATTTGACAGACACAGCGAGAGAGGGAACACAAGCAGAGGGAGTAGGAGAGGGAGAAGCAGGCTTCCCGCAGAGCAGGGAGCCCGATGCGGGGCTCGATCCCAGGACCCTGGGATCATGACCTGAGCCGAAGGCAGACGCTTAACCGACTGAGCCACCCAGGCGCCCCTAAACACTATATTTCTTATAATTTAGGCTTAACATTTACTGAGGTTTTACTATATACCAAATACAGTTCTAAGTGCTTCACGTGAATTAAATTCTTTAATTCTTGTAACAGATTCTTTCACCATCTTATTTTAAAGAAGTTAACATTCCTGAACTTAAACAAAATGCTAAGATATATCTAACATGTATTCGAAAATATCCATGATTTTCCAAGGTTTTAGGAAGAAATATTATCAACTATGAAAATACTAAGAGAGTGGCCTATAAGAAATGCCACTATTTTCATCCACAAATATTTAATGATAAACTTCACAAAATGATTATTTTCAAAATTTGGCATTTAATAATTTCTTGATGAGAAAGCAGATCTTATAAAATGAAAAATTAAGAAAATAATAAAAAGATGTATCTTAGTTACCTGAATAATTTTATCACCTGGTTGTAATAATTTTGATGCTGGTCCTTCAGGCTGTACCCTTGTTACAAATATACCCTTTAATAACAACAAAAAAGATAAACACTTAATGGAAAACAGTATGCATCAATGACAGAGTAACAAGGAATAATTTTTCTTTGACAGTATGTAAATATTTGAATCATAGTACAAGTTTTCTCCCTGTTTTCTCTGAATATTGTTACAACCCAGTGTTATTTTTCATCCTGGTAATTCTGACTTGAGTACAGTAACTTCTCTTAAAGTACAGATGTACAGACATGTAATAACCAAATTTAAAAATCACTTCACAGTGTGATGAACATTTAAAACTGGGGGTTTAATTTGTTTTCCTCAAACAATTAATTTGAAGTGATCACATTTCAAAACAAAAAGCTGAACAATACAGAGAGAAATAAAAAAGATGGTATCTGTCTAGATTTATATAAGTATCTGTCAGATTTTTACAGGAGGCATTAAGTAGTGAGTAAAACCTTATGGGTATCTCAAGGACAAATAGACAAACTCACATCGTCTTCAGGTCTGAATGGATTTCCTCTGCCCCCAACACCTCCTGATATGCTAAATCCAAGTTCTGGATCCTTTTCAACTCTCACTCGAATCTGAGTATGAAAATAAAATATTACTAACATCTCCGAAAAAGCTACAACACAGTATTTAACTATTTGTAAAATATATAAAGATTCATTTAAAATAAATATTCAGGCAGATGAAGGGAAATTATAACATGGAATATCATGTTAATAAGTTAGTGAGTTAAAGGCACAGCTGGGATTATAAAGCATAGCTCCTAAATTAATCTCCTGTTATTTTACAAGGATATGCAACCGATTACTATTGATCTTATTTTTTTTTTTTTTAGGTATCATGGATTTTAATGATATTGAGCACACACAGTTATTATCAGCTTATTATCAGTTTCCATTTGTAAAACATCTAAATTACATAGTATCTCTGTTTATTGGGTGTTCCATAAGATATTTAAAAATCCCTGGGTGGTTGTTGGATATCAACTCATTTCTTGAACCTGTTTATATGCTTGCAAGACATTGGGACTGATGATCAACTGATAATATTTTTTATAACCACGCTACAAAAAAAGATCAAGAACTAAACTTGTTACAAAATACTCCCTTTCCCCAGAGACTAAACCAAAATGAATAAGGCACATGTTCTCTGCCTAAGTTTCTAACAATATTACTTTATCAATAAACTATCAAAATATGTAAATGTATGATTAGTCACTTTTTAAGTACTTTGTAAGATTTAATTCTTGAAGTAGTTTGGAGACTATAGTCAAATTTCAAACTCTCAGTGTCAAATAACAATGGTAAACCATAACATGCCAGTCAAGTTTAATGGTCTACTATTCATATTCCTGAAGAAGGTCTAATTACTGGAGTATCATCAAATGGTTTTGTATAAACAACCACCTTAGGGGAAAAAAAATCACATCCAAAACACTGAATCCTATGTCAATTAATCAGAACACAGGGGATCACAGAGTCAAGTTAACCATTAAGTCTGACACCCTATAAACTTAACATGAAACCAAACCTTTCAACAAATTGGTAAAAACTATGTTAAAATTCTATATGGATTTATTGCTAATAGTTAAATAACCTATAAAGTACATTAAGAGCTTAGTTTCTTATTTCAAATATTCTTGATTATTCTTACCTCTTGCCTTGCCAGTTCATGGCCTTGTCTAGGAGGACAATGGGGCTGTGTATATGGAGGCTGGTGGGCCACCTTCAGCATCAAGTAATCAATTAGTTGTTCTCTAGAGGGATGCCTTGCCACAGAAGCCTGAGGAAGGGGGTGATGTATTTGACTATAATTTGCCTGAGGCCTGAGGGGCTGGCCCATCTGTCCATTAATCAAAGGCATCTAAGAAAAACACGAAGTGTCTTAAAATGACCAACAATAATGTCTCATTACAAATATTTGGATTTTCTTCTTGGAGCATTACAAAAGCACTAGAGTTTAACATTCTAAATCACACAATATCAAGTCACTTATACTATTTTTTCTAATTTTACAGTTTTAAAAGAAAAAAGCTATTAATTCTAAACTTGCTTGAATGCTTGCAGATAGATTCTCACTCTTTAAAGGTTTCAAATGAAATCCTATTTACATTTAAAATTATCTGCTTTTCTGTTCAATATGCATGGACCTATCTTTCTTACAGTAACCAAATGTTAAAATGGTGATTATGTCAAAATTTTAAAATTTAAGCCCATTAAAAGGGTAAATTTTCCCAACTCACATACACACAGAAGATGTATTTGTTCATGTTTTCTTCTGAACAAAAGTTGAAATTTCTGTGTCCTAATCTGACTGTATTTTCTACTTTTATTTCTTTCTTTCCAGAATTAACAAGTCAAGGCAGCTATACAGTAGGAAACTAACTTATTCCTCATGTGTGTATAGCAGTTAGCAACTTTTAAACTACTTAAATGTTAGTTCCATAAAACAGTAACCACAAAAATTAAACCTTGACATTCTATTTTACTTTTCGCAAGTTACACAAAAAATCTGAGGTAATTATTTTGTTGTTAAAGATCTATCCTTGTTTTAATGCTTCTCATCGTTTAGACTGAATCTGAATTTTAGACTTAAAATCACCTTTGTGCAAATGCAGCTAATAATCTGTTATGTTAGTATGATGAAACTATCTGAAAAATAAGTTTACATTTGTATTATGAGTATGTGCATACAGAGAGATTGCTGTATAGAGGGGGAAATACTTTTCAGCTATTCAATCATTTAAAACTTCATTATTATTAATAAAAAGGTGATCTTACTCACAAGTGAATTATAGAAAAACTGTGAGAGAAATATTTAGCCCCATTCTCCTAAAATTATCCCAAAGTAGAAAAGTTTGGGAAAAGATTATGGTAATTGTTTCAGAACTATATTCTTGTTACATGAACCTTGCTGAAGGAAACAAAGAAGTCTGGCTTTGGTGAAGATTTTTACTTTAAAAAAAGTTATCTTTTTTACTGTGTTATACTTCAGAACTTGGTTAATTCTGAACTTTGGGAACTTAAAGTTTCCAACAGGTGTTTTCTAACAGGGCACAAAGATGTTATCACTCTATGACAAATCTTACATTGGTTGGAGAAAAAAGCGAATGAGGTACTCCATTATCCCTGTATCTTTTTTAAAAAAATTGTGGTTGTTTACTACTTGAATTTTGTAGATTTGAAGTCATTAATCTGCCAGGAGCCTTTAAGTGGTTGTGTTGTCACTTTATTACTTAGGCACAACTCTGTGGACTGCACTCGCTTTCTCCAAGCTTGTATCATTTATTCCTATGTGCAGATTCAAAACCTTTCTCTTGGGGAAAATTTTCCAAACAATAATTACTTCTGACCCATGCTAAGTCTGCCTGATACCTAGATTCTTAGTTGTGCCTGACATTTTACATCAATGTTAAACATACCCATAGAATATATTAAGCTATCATTAGCAGATGGCTCAGGAGAATACAAGTATGAAACAACCCAGTAACCTAAACTACAAAAATGGATATTAAAAAGAAAAAGAAACTGAATAACATAGCTCAATTAAAAGAAAAAAAAGGGGTAAAATAAATAGTTATGTATGAACTTGTTATATGGCTGGGTTCCTACTCTCAAGAACAATGTAGAAGTTTTTATAGAATACATTAAGTATGCTTCAAAATTGTATCTGGTTATACTAGGAATATGGAATTGGAATTAGTTAGAATAAAGAACAGCTGAGAGAGAATATTAAAGAAAAGAATTATCTATTTGGTATTGGTGACAGAAAAGTAAACTCTCTAAGTGATGCTTTAGTTACAAAAGTAGTAAGAATACAATCATCATCTATTCTACCACATACAGAAGTCTTTCAAGGTTATTTCTAATTACATTTAAAGTATTTTAAAATGCCTTTAATAACATCCTCAAACGAAGAATTTAAGACAGGTTCATCTTTAATTCTCCAAAAGATTTACTATCAGGATGCTAAAAAGCCTCTGACTCAAACAATACAATAAGTAGATGATAGTAGAGAAATCCAAAAATAACAATAAAATCATTTTCCACGGTGGAAAAAAATCATTGACTAAACTAAGAAATAATAGAGTAAAAATCTATTTCATAATTCCCAATTAGTTTTTTAACAATCTTTTCTAATCAAGGAGGGAAAGTCCTCAAAAAATTATTTTCAGTGTTAAAGCATTATGTTATTTACAGTTCAAAAGCTGTAAAACAAGTTCAAAGAGATGTCTTCATTTATTTCCTGAACACCTACTTTCATCAAGCTGTCTGGAGGAACATCTTTGTGACTAAGTGTAGCTGACGAGTAGTTCGGCTGTCCTGAAATGAATATATCATCTTGACAAGGATCTCCTGGACAGGATGTCTGGGGATGCTTCAAATGAGGGGAAAATAAAAAGTAAACAAATAATGCTCTTTCAGATGTGAAACCAAAATGATGATGACACTTGAAAGGAGACTGGAAAAAATATTACTAGGTAGTAGAAAGATGAAGAACCAAGTCAAACATTATGATCATAACTGCCATCAATATTAGTACCTTTATGATGGACATTAAACTTGTTGCGGTAATCATTTCACTATGTGTATGTGTCAAATTATTATGATGTATCCTTTGGACTAACACCATGTGATGTCTCAATAAAACAGGAAAAAGTATTAGTACCTTTAATATACACTTCATAATGCTTTTAGTTTTATTTACAGTAATACCTAGCTTTTAACACCGTGAACAATTTAGTTATTAATGAACTAAGTCAAAAGTCCCAAATTTTAAGAGCAACTAAAATTTACTCCTGTTGAGTACTACAAAAAGGTTTTTTGTTTTTGTAAAAAAAAATAATAATAATAATAATAATAACTGCTATTAACAGCACAGTGCCACCCGGGATTTTCTTATTAATGATGGGCAGTAGCAATAAATACACAATCTTATAAAATTCAGTTTAGCTTAATTTTATCATACTAGTATTGGACAGCTCAGTATTTTTTAACACCAATGGTCTGGTTTTAAATTTGCTTTTAAAATTAACTAGAGTTCATATTTTTGTATGTCAATAATATCCTTATAGTCTACTTCACTGATAGCTTTAGAGAAAAAACAAACTCAGTAGCTCATTGTCTCTGAATATTTTTTATAATATGCTAGGGAGCAAGATGCCCATACTTTCCATTTTAATTTAGTTCTAAACACACTTAGCTATATTTTTGAAAACTAAAGGGACTGTGATAAATAGCGCTATTGTTACTTTCAAAATAATATGTGGCTAGCAACACAGCTACGTATACTACATCATCATTTTGAAAAATAATCTGAAATCTACTTCATTATGATATGCCACAGGATACACGTAAGTCTAAGGGCTTGTGATTTAACCTTAGAAACTTTATTTGCAACAGAGCTATCATGTGCAGTTAGTTGCTGGTTCAAAGCACCGATTAGCATTTTTAGATTTGGTTTGATCTGATTTTATGAATTTATGCCATGAGTATTTTTTGCATTCCTTCCCCATTTTTGAGATGTGCTTTCGGAATGCACAGTAATCAACCTAGGTTACTAGGTTGATTACCCAGCCATAGTGAAAGTTGCTTACAGCTTGAAGTTTAAATTCAAGTCTGAATGTATAACTGTTTATTTAGTCTTTAAAAGAACAAGTATGTTATGAATGAAAAAGCAAAATGCAACAAACTCAAAGGCTCTGAGTTTAAGAATAATAAGCAAAAAATATTACTGTTTAAGAATTTGGAAAGACAATCGTTCCAGATGACAACAAAGATTATTTCTAAGTTAATAAAAGCCCCTGGTCTTCACTCTGTGGTTTCAGTCGGAATGAGTACCAGAAATGCAGGGCTTAATAGCTATCACTCTTCTCTTCCCATTTCAGTGATAAATTACAAAACAATTGCTATGACTCTAACATAGAAACAAGAGGGCAGAGCAGGGGTGAGGTGAGGTCCAGCCACAGCAAAGTGAATCCAGGAGGCCACTCTTGTCCTAGAACACAACAAGGCAAAGCCAGCAGTGTATTAAAAAGGGGGTGGTGATGAGGACCCTTAGGAAAAGGCAAGGATCCAGAAGTAAGCAGAGTCAATATGGAAATAAAACTACAGGGAGGAGACAAAATAATGTTGTAAGAGGAGAAATATCTTTTCAGAATGGAAGGGGGAGAAATAAATATTTATTTAGAGACCATGCTAACACCTTAAGTTGTTATGAAGAGAAAAATCTTAAAATAGAGCCATACCAGAGTTGTTCTGTTCTTTCTCCTTCTCTGCCATTCTTACCGCCTACCCTTAACTTTCATTAAGAGAATAAGCCTTCCTTCTTCATCATTAATGACTACGCTAAAACATGTTTAAGAAAGGATTTGGGTTTTGCCTTTTCATTAGTACTTATTACAATTTCTCCAGCCTTACTCATGTTCAGTGAATTTTGATTAAATTTACTTCCAGGTAGTGCTTCTCATTTGCCAATTCTCAATCACTAAACTAAAAATTATTCTTCCCCACAACACTTCTGTGTACTATGTATAGCTTAGCCTTAAAACTTTGAGTTATGGAGACTAGCTAATTTTATTAAGAGAAAACACCACAAAGCATAATAATTTTTAAAAAACCACTCAGTTATTTCAATTGCTCATCCCTATTTACATAAACAAGAATATACTACATCCTTCGCTTATAACTAAAGAAACTTAAGAGATAAATACTAAATCAACTTTGCAGGGAGTTTTAGAACTAAGCTATGGAAGAACTAGAAGGTAATCAAGATATCTGACCCACCATAAAAACTTATTTTCTAGAAATGTGAAAACATTAAAATGTGTTTTTTTTTCTTCTTCTGTGTACTAAAAGTACTCGTCTACTGCAGGTACTCACTCGAAAAATGTGCCCACCAGAACCTCTTCCGTCTGCAACACTCAAGGCAAGGCTGCCTTGGCTGCCATGCAGATCCCTAGAGCTGCCATAGTGAAAGTTGCTTACAGCAGTAAAATTGGAATTAAAGGACCTTGACAGCATGCTCTGAATAAAGAGGGGATAGATTTAACAGAGATTAGTGTAGCATGCAAAATTCACAAGACGTGTTATGTACAAAGACGTATTTATAAGTAACCCCAATACCACGCAGGAATATCATGCATCAAATTTTCAGTACCACTGCAAGAGACTGGCACTATTTACCATATATTTACATGACAACATACACATATACACATAAAGTACATGTAAATCCAACCATTCACATGTTTAAACACTAAAGAAGAAAGTACAAACATACAGTGGCTTTTATAATGCTATCATTTCCTTTACTCCTAATACATCTTATTAGAAATTCGTCAGAAAAGAGGAACTGATGCCATCCCTAGATGTATGTGTACATATGTAGTTATATATGGAACACAAGTAATTCCTGTATAAAGATAAATTTTACCAACAACCAGTTATTTCTAAATCAAAATGGATTTCTAGAGTCTGCTTCATTTTACAGAAATCAATTCTATATTATTATTAAATAAATGGAGAGTTTAAACATACATACATAACACAAAATAAATCTGCAAAACACACCTGGCTCTTGGCCACTGTAATTTCTAAAAAAAATTACCTTCTACATTTAGAAACATGTATTACATTAAAAAAAAGTTAACATATACATGAAGTTTTAGGATATAACACTTAAGAGGCTCCCACTGCTCTACAGTTACCAGGGGAAAAAAGTTAGACAATGTACTTGTAAAAAAAATTCTCCCATTCAAATAGACAGATAGTTAAGATTATATTTTAGGAGTTAGTAGTGGCATTTGCTGCTTAAACTTGAAGAACCACGGATGGAATGCTTACACTGATGAATCTCTTATCACTAATCCCAGAGCTGCCTGAAAAATGTACCTCAATAAACACAATGCCTGATTTTTGCTGTTCCTGCTTATTAATTCCCAGAGCTGTTACATGCTTTTCTTTTATGTGGATGCTTCTTGTCATGTCCCTGAATATTGAGGGTCTTATGGTCAAACTGAGAGCAACCACATTTTGAGCATGGCTTGTTATCAAGAAATATAGAAATGTCATAACAAGCATTTCTGTATTATTCCTAGGGAATATATATGCCTTCTCCAAATTATGAAGTTGATCTCTAATACCAAGAAATCTTAATGTGCCATTCCAGAATGAAAGGGATCTATAAAATTACAATGTATACTTTTAGTTTTTTTGTGGATTCCAAAGTAATGACTAAAGAAAAAGCTAAACTTAACAGGCCATGCCTATACTTTCCCAGACCATTTCACAAACAATTGGGATTTGGCAGAGACAATTCAGAGGTTCCATGAACATTTGATTATAACGTAAAAATAAACTATACACACAATCACACATTGACAGAAACATAAACAACACACACTGATGTGTTACACATAGTTTTAACATGTTCTTAACTTGAGTGGTCCAAATGATCCTTTTTAATTATATGTAGATCCTGGAACAAAGCTTTTTCTGTCGTCTTTGAACATATATAAAGTTTTTGTAAATATGTCACTAAGAAGGCTAAAGCTCAGAACAGGTGCGGTTTTTAATTCAGGCCTGTGCATAGACATCTATATAAAACTGCACGCTGTCACAACACAACACATTTGTGCAGAGCTCAATTAAGGAATATGTCCTGGGCACTGCCGTTCATTACATGCTAACAGTTGTATTGTAGCAACTGAATGTGGATATTATCATGTTATGTTAATGATATTCTAGTTGAGTGCTTCTTACCAGAATTGTTAGTTTAATTAAATAAGCCTTGAGAAGCAGGAGGTGAGATCTATTTCTATGTTTGGGTTCCAAGTACAGTTTGTTGCAGGAAGGGAAGGAGGGGTTATTAATAGAAGGTTTAAAAACCAAATAAGCTGCAATAACTTACTATTTTTGTATTAATGCTAAGCAACTGAGCTGGGCAAAGTAGCAACTTTTGATTTGGGGACTTACCTCTAGAGGTGGGTAAGGCATTGTGAAATATTTTCAAATGTCTACCAGGCCTTAAGAATTGTTTGGGGGATGAAAAGAATGAATTGCAGAGGAGCAAACAGATTTTCCATCACCCTCCACCATTTTTAACCAATGCTTTCAAGTTTGGTAGTCTAAATCATGTTGCTCTGTGTCCTCACAAGGCTTTTCTTAGTTTCACTGGCCTATTCCTCACCTCTCGATTACCACTGGGCATAACTGGGAAGCTATTGTCACGCACTCTTGAAGTAACTGAATGGCCGATTTCTAAATATATAAAGCAGAGAGGTACAATGAACAATGGGGTAGCTGCTACTTGCTTCCTATTTACTCAAGTCTAGGTACATCTCCGTCAGACAGGAAAGTAATGGGAGAACAGCCACCTGAGATGTCAACTACACAGAATATGATAACCAAACTCATCTCTTCATCCAAATCTGCTCTTCATTCTCTACGTTGGCATTCCCAACAACCAGTTACTCAAGGCACCACTCTAGCTTAATTCCTTTTCCTCAAAGACTTATTACAGGAATATTCCAATCACAAGTAAACTATTCTAGAGTCTGTTTCAAAACTATCTCTTGAATTCTTGCCTTTGTCTCACTTCCATCAGTACATTTCTCATTTATTTTCTGGACCACTAGAGACCCTCGTAACTCAATCAACTTAAATACAGCCTCTTCCTCCTCCTCCTCAAAAAAACCCAAAACAAAACAAAAAAACAAAAAACTATAGCCCTTCCTCGTTCTAGATCCATAGTATCTCCAGGAGTTTATTTATAAAACAGTTATGGTACTCCTCTGCTTAAGAAATTTCCAAGTTCCTTAGAAAAAGCACACAAGCTCAAAGAGCCTCAACAATATGTATAGCTACAGCTGAGACAAAATGGATGAGAATGAGGTTGCCTAAGGCCATTAGATGCTCAGCTATTTAAAGGTGATAGTATTCAAAAGAGCTAACAATTATAGGCGGAGGTTCAATATGAATTGATATATGGTACCAATCATATTTTAGGCATTCATTTTTGAAAAATCGGACCTAAGGAAATATTTTAAATGACTAATTGAGGTTGTATACATTTAGCTGTTTTTAAAAATATATATTTAATGAACAAAGATAAGAAAATTCTTGGGTAAAACCCACTGAGAGACAGGAAGCTAAATCTTAAAGAACGTGCTTTATACACTTGAGCCACAGAACCGTGACACTAATTTATCAGTTGTACATGATAATTTTTAAAAATTTTAACTCCTTTCAAAAAACTTGACCTTTACATATTAAGTTATAAACTGAACATGATCTTAAGTTGTTTTACCAATGATTTCCAAACTTCATTAGAGCCACAGACACCTGAGTTCAGGTAGGTCAGAAATGCAGTTCAGAAAGGTCAAGAGTAAATGCCATGCCAGAAGCCATCTGTGTCAGTGACAGTGTTAGTTTTATAACATTGGGAAAAAAATCTTAGATAAAATATTTACATTTATGATATATATTTTTTAAGATTTTATTTATTTGAGAGAGAGAATGTGAGAGAGAGAGAGAGAGAGAGCACATGAGGGGGGGAGGGGCAGAGGGAGAAGCAGACTCCCTGCTGAGCAGGGAGCCCGATGCAGGACTCGATCCTGGGACTCCAGGATCATGACCTGAGCCGAAGGCAGTCGGTTAACCAACTGAGCCACCCAGGCGCCCTATATTTCTTGTTATTCTGCTAATTATATAGTAAAACTGCTATTTTTGTAAACATACTTACATAACCAATAATTATTAGATGAGAGCAGGAGGTCAGAAAATGCTAAACATTTAGAGGTACACATTTATGCATGTATTACAGTATGTACGGCACAATCTAAAAAAGATATACACATAAACATATGAAACGAACTTCAGCTCATTAGAAAACACTGGGGAGTAAGAGACAGAAAAGAAGCATATCCTATAATCTCAGTTATTTTGAGTCTGGCTAAGTCTAAACTTGAACTCTGTTTTACATACCATGAAAAAACTCCTCAAATTTAAGTATATATTCAGTAATTCAGAGTATCTTGTTTCACCTTAAGAAACAAAGAATATCAAATATTTTTAAGAAAAATAAATTCACAGACAGGAAAATGAAAAAATTCATATTTAATTACCTTTTCTAACTTTCTGGCCTCGATGTGTCGTAGTACTTGTTCTCGCCAATCATGAGGAACTTTACTTTTTCCTGGAGGATCTAATAAAGAATGCTCAGAACCAACCCTTGCATTTGGTCTCTTTGAAGGACTAGTCCGTGAATAATTAAAATCACTAACAGACATAGTTCTCTCTGGTATTTCACTAATGGAGGGTCGAGCACTCTGAGGCCTTGATGCATTTGGACCATCGATGCTATATGTTCGTGCAGAAAGAGGTCTCTGTGATCCTGACATCAATGGAGTTCTTCCCACTGAATGTAACTCTCTGTACGATAGATAATCTCCTTCAGGAATCTGGGCCCGCCTCGTGGGACCTGATTCACCAAGATTTACCGAAGCTGTAGAGGACACACTACTTTGTCGCTGAATCGTAGTTCGAGTTGCTCCAGGAATGAGTCGGTCATTTGGTGAGATGGCCCACATTTCCCCATGTCTTCCTGGGCCAGGTCTCTGATGTAAATGGTATCCAGTATTAGCTCGAACATTGTTATGGTTAGAGAAATTCATATTGGCAGAATGTTTCGTGTAACTGTGACTTTCTGTGCTCTCGGATCTAGGAAGCCGCTGAGGAGGAAAACCGACATGATCTATTTGGGGATTCTGTTTGGTGTGCCACAGAGTGTCCTTGACAGCAGCACTGCTACTGTACTGGATATTATATTGTGGAGGACCATATATCTGAGGCGTAGATTGTGGGCCACTTACTGTAGGGCCTCTTATTATATTTGGCTCTTCAGGATTATGATTTGAATCAAACTTGAAAATTGCCTTTGTACCTGATATTAAATCAGAAGATGAAGAAGAACCAGTAAATACTTGCAATGGTTGATCATACAAAAGTGTAGCAGACTTGCTCCTGACAATATTTTTTCCATCAACAGTAGATGTTACTTTAATTGTTGCACTTGGCTGCTGTGGTCCATTATCACTAAGAATGTCATAGATTTTTAACCCTCCAGTCTCCATATTAGTTATACTATGAGATTTCACAACAGATCCAACTGGCCCACTTCTCTGAGGAGAGAGATCTTCAGTGCTTTTGGAAATACCCATATCAACAGAAGAATCAGTGTCATGTGGTTCAGTCCTCCTAGGAGACTGTGGAGTTTCCTCAGAATGTCCATTTACCTTATTTACACATTCTAGATTAGGATACTTATTTCCATTTTCCAAGGGCTCAGCTTCTCCTTTAGCATTAATGCTTAAAAAGTCCATTCCAAGCACTATATCCTGTGTCTTTGATCTTTCCACTATCTCTGGTTGAAATGTATCATTAGTTACAAGTTTATTAAGATTCATATTGATATGGTCTAATTTGTGAGATTCATCAGATGTGGCTGTTGAGTCAACACCTTTCTCAATAAGAACCAATTGCTCTTCAATATTCAAATCATATTCAGGTAAGTTAAAATCTTTTTTATCATGAACCTGGAATTTTTCTTCCATTGAATGATTTAAAATATCTCCATTTTGTAAAAGGCTGTTAAAATTTTCATCTTCTTGCCTAAAACAAAGATAATTTTATCATAAACATCATAAAGTTCAGTTTCTTAGTAATAAGAAACATTAATAACGAACTGGTTAATGTGTAGGTACACAAAGTTAAAAGAGCTGATGGGAGTCAAAGATAAAAGTCATTTACTAGCAAGGAGTAATATTAAAATATTACTGTAATAAATATTTATATTAGATGAAGGCAAGTAAAACATTAAAATTCATAGATAATCAAGGTTAATTTTCATCAATATCACCAATCACTTTGTCAGAATATAGTTTAACAGAGGTAAATAGTGAAGAAAAATGGACTTTTTTAAGCACCTTTTCATGAATGTGCTAGAAGATGAAATGACTGAAAGATGGACGGACACATGGAAAGCCAGTAACTTAAATAGTTGAGCAAAGAGCACAGAACATTTTCACAAATAATTCTGAAACCTTACATTATTAAAGTCAGTCATATTAACTAAGTAGTTATTATTAGATTCAAATATGTAAGTAAGGAAATTGTAAAAAGCTAAGAATTAAACAATTACTCAAAGGTCTACAAAAAATGTAAAGAAAGTAGGTATACTAAAAAAAAAACTAGAACTCAACAAAAAGTCAATTTTATTGTATGGTGATTTAAAAAATAAAATAAACAATGCAGCACTGAAAAAAATCTGAAGATCAAAAGCAAAACTAAACTCTTCTAAGTTATTCCACTGTATTTGGCAAATATTTATAAATGTGCTATTTCAAAATTACAGAAAACATTTTACTTCTGCTTGGTGGAAATAAATAAACCTACTTGTATTTCACACAAATATGAAAACATATTTGTGCCCTCTCGTATAAATATTCAAGTATGTTTAACAAATATTCCTTAGTATTGATCTTCCCATTAGGTAACAGACTACATTCATTATTAGAAATACAACAAGGCAGGGCACCTGGGTGGCTCAGTCGGTTAAGCAGCTGCCTTTGGCTCAGGTCATGATCCCACGGTCCTGGGATCGAGCCCCACATTGGGCTCCCTGCTCAACAGGGAGTCTGCTTCTCCCTCTCCCTCTGCCTACTGCTCTGCCTATTTGTGTTCTCTTTGTCAAATAAATAAATAAAATCTTCAAAAAAAAAAAATACAACAAAGGTGTGGAATATCCCTTTGATAGCCTTTATTTCATTACACAAAAAACATGATTTATAAAATACTAAACTACTCAACAAAATATCGGTAACATTTTATTATTCATGAAATTAATCATTATCTTAACATCTAAGAGGTTATAAAAATTATTATATTACCACACTAGGTCTTAGCCTCAATTTCAAAGAACAGATATAAATAATCATAATTACAAGTACATAATAGCTAAACTCATTTTGTGACATAAAATTCATCTTCCTTTTACAACAATATAAATCAATACAAACAAAATTTGACTTAGCTGTGCCTGGATTTTAAGAACCATTTTACTCTAAAAAGTAGTCAACAATCTCCATACAGTAAGCTTTGGGTTCAGTAGTAACCCAAATCTTTCTAATAAGCACCTAGCTGATACAATAACATAAAGGTAAAACAATACATCTTATTTTCATAGCCAAGTATTTTGAAAGCCCAAATAACAGTTGTTTTATTTTAAACTTCAGCTAATTTTAGCCTGTAGAAATTAAGTCTTGTTTAGAGAGCCTGACCTGCAAATTTAAGTCTAATTCAAAGATCCAGAAGTAGTTAAAAGTACTGAATGCCCTTTAATGGCACCCTCCAAACACGAGTATCTAAAAAACACCCATTTCAATTTGAATTACTCCGAACAAGCTATTTATGTTGCAATATCTAAAAATACTGTTACAATGTCCAACTTTTCAATGAAGAGAATTAGAATACTTTAAATCCTTTCTTTCCTAATTTTTTGTAAAGTTTATCTTTTAGTAATCTCTAACCCCATGTGAGGCTCAAACCCATGACCTTGAAATCAAGAGTCACATGCTCTTCCAATTGAGCCACCCAGATGCTCCTTTTCTTCCCCACTTAAAAAACGAATATAAATGGAAATGTAGCAAACCTAAATAAGTAGTAATAAAATGGGGAAGAAATCCCATACTACCTGAACTACTTCTATATTAATTTGTGAAATCAGCTTTGTTTTAGTCAGACATATTTATTTGCCTTATTATCTCTATTGTACAAATAAATTATTCTGTTAAAATGTTCACAAACCTGATTTTGGAATTAATACCAATATGAGTTTGTTTCATTGGAGAGCAGAGTGAGGTATCTTGACTACTATCAGTATTAAGAGAAACTGAATCAGACATCCGAGATGGAGAAGAACAGTTGCTGTTATTCTGATTGCTATTGTGTGTAACTTCATCTGATAAAGAATCTGTATCCTTTGTATCATCTGAAACAAAAAAAACTTAAGCCGTTGATAAAGTCACTAAAGATTTGCGTTTAATACCTTGCAGTGATGACAAATGACATTTATGTTGTCCAGGTTCACTATATAAAGAATTCTATGGATTAGAAGATAAACAAAGGCACTTCTGAAAATGCAGTCCTAATACACACAAAGATTAATTTAAAACTTGTGATACCTTTAAGTTTTTTGACAAATATGATCTATGTTAAGATTATCTAGAATTTGATTTAGTTTTAACTACTGACAAGATTGTATTATACAGTGTTTTTCTAAGGCCATCAATTAGTTTTAGTGAATATGGCCCCTCCACTCATTCACAATATTTTTTTCAGTAGGCTCTACACCCAACGTGGGGCTTGAACTCACAACAAAAAGATCAAGAGTCGCATGCTCTAACAATTGGGTCAGCCACGTGCCCCCTCATTCGTGACTTTAAAAAGTCATAATAATGAAGAATAAACAGTACAGTTCACAGCCTAGATTTGTAAATTTATCTGGGGAAGAAATTATTTCATACAAGTATGGAGTTGTTTTCATCTATTCTGAAAATAAAAATGAGCAATACTGTCAATTAAAAAAAAAATCAAGAAGTTTCAGAAGGTGAGCTCTCTTTTGCTATTTTTAAACCATTTCAAAGAACTGCATATGAAAAATGATCAATAGGGGTGCCTGGGTGGCTCAATCGTTAAGCGTCTGCCTTAGGCTCAGGTCATGATCCCAGGGTCCTGGGATCGAGCCCCGCATCGGACTCCCTGCTCTGTGGGAAGCCTGCTTCTCTCTCTCCCACTCCCCCTGCTTGTGTTTCCTCTCTCGCTGTGTCTGTCAAATAAACAAATAAAATCTTAAAAAAAAAAGAAAAGAAAATGATCAATATAGGAGATGGCTTTTGTTTTTTATATAAACAGAAAGAGACAATATTCATATTCCATTATAGGCGGTACTATTAAAAAGTAATGATAAAACAATAACTTAGGGCACCTGGCTAGCTAAGTCGGTGGGGCATGTAACTCTTGATCTCAGGGTCATGAGTTCAAGCCCCAAGCTGGGCAAAGAGCTTACTTAAAAACAAAATGAAAAAAGATAATAACTTATCTTTACAACCCTGAAGACTGTATTTAGTGCAATTCTACCCAACTCACAGAAACAGTATATATAGAAACAGTCACAGGAGATTATATGCATTAAAGATATTTTTTCTGTTCCAAATATCGTAGGAGCACAGTTCAAGTAGTCTGGATTGTTGGCAATAATAGTACATGGGGCTAGAATTTCTATATTCAACTTTAAGGTATTTGGGTGGTGGAGTCTTAATTTTTAAAATACTGTTAAGAAAGATGGTAGGTAAGTTCTTTCCTAGATATTATTCCTCTTCTTCCACCTCCTTGTGACAGATAGTAACATGTAAAATATTTAGCATGGTAAGCAGCAACTAGTAAGTACACAAATATCACTACCACTATTATTATGAAATTCAAATTATCTAAGAGCCACCTTGACATAAGTTTCATTAATGCCATAAAGGCAAAGACTGGATGAATATTTGGTAGAGATAATATAGACATGTTCAAGCACTAGGGGGAAGGAGTGAAGGAAGGATGAAAAAAGGGATAGATATCCTTCAAGTTCCCTTTCATTTCTAAGAAGAGTCTGAGATTCTAGTACATGAAAAAAAAAATGGCTGGGGTATGAGGATGGTTTAAAAAGAGTTCCAGAACAGATAAAATAACAAGCTAGATCTGAGTACACTGAATAATCTAGCACATTTGATACTCACAAATTCCTTCATTAGCCTCAATGTATGTCAAGTTAGGTTAAGTTCATATGCATAAAATTAAGTAGCTCAAGGATTACCCAGCAAAAAAGCAGCAGAAACAGAATCACAATGCAAGCTTGTCTGCCTACAAAGCCCACACCCTTATACATAACCTTGCATGAGGGAAGAGAAAATACATAATAAGATTCTTCTTTAAAAACAAGAGGGTTAAGGAATAGACCTTTTAGAAAGGCATATTTTAAAAATTGTTTCGAAAAAGTGTTTTAAACAACATAATCACATTTAATGAAATTTATTTCAAAAAAATTTATGAATTTGATAAATTCAGCCCATTTCTATTCCTAGTGCTTTCAACATCTAACCTTTTTTGTTATTACTAAGAGCTACCACTTTTGGCTGGTTAATAGAGCTTTCAATTAATGGTGGTCGCATCTCTGCCATTTTCATCTCTTCATCAGAAGAAAGTTCTTCAGATTCCTAATTTAAAGAAAAAAGAAAGTATTTAAATAAATTTTGGTTTCTTTAAATGAATAGATATTAAGTCATAAGAACTTCAAAGAGAAAGAATATTTAGAACATGGATGTAAAACCTTTTTATGGTAATAGTAACTAAAACTACTATGTAAGTTTTTCAAGATACGGCAATAAAACTATGGCAATTATTAACAATATGTCAAAGTGGCTATGGGATAATATTCCATGGTGGGCCTTAATCCAAGTGTATTAATGATTAATATGTGCCTGGTACTATGCCAAGTGCTAGAGAAACAAAAATGAATAAAACACAATCTCTGTCTTTGAAAAACTCAGTTTAGAGGTGTACCAACCAAAAATCTCTTCCTAATTCTCATATTTATTCCCTCCAAGATTATCAAGTTGCAAGGAGTCAGGACTGAGGTGTTCTTCCATTAAAATGAGTTAATGGCAATTTTTGACCAATTTGAAGACAGAATTTTTTATTATTCTTCATCAATTTTTCTCTAATATTTGACAAAAGTCCCAGATTATCTGCCACTGAGTGCTATTAAGTGAAAGGGGGTAGTGAACAAAAGGATCTGGTAGCAAACAACTATTTATAGAAATATTTTAATACTGCAAATATTGTATATAAAAAACAGAACTTTTGCAGGTTATTATTCCTAATGATGAAAATAAGTAAATAATATGATGAAAATAAATAAAAAGTCTTAAACATTGTTCTGTTAGAAGTACTGACTTCCAGTAACTCCGAAGTGACATAATAAAGATATGGACCAGGGGCAGAAAACTATTTCAGTAAGAAGGGCCTTCAGTCTGTTTCAACTACCCAACTCAGCCATTGTGGCACACAAGTAGCCACAGACAACATGTGAACAAGCGCCTGTGGCTGTGTGCCAGGAAAATTGAATTTCATCGAATTGTTCGCATGTCATGAAACAGTCTTCTTCCTTTGATTTGTATTCAATACTTAATAATGTAAAAGCTGTTCTTGGCTTGCAAGTCATACAATGACAGGCAGTGAGCCAGATATGGGCCACAGGCCACAGTTAGCCAAACCCTGTTCAGGACTGTACTACAATGGAAAGACACTTCTAATTAGAATAGGAAGAGAAAGTAAAGAGGGAAGGAAGAGAAGTGAGGGGTGAGGTAAGAGAGGAATGACATTCTGCACAGATGAAAGCAAGGAAATAAGAGAAGGTATGCAAAGCATGTCAACTCCATGGAGCTGGAGCTCAGAGAACTGGCAGGAGACAGAAAAGTAAGACTGGATTGAAGAGGGAAGGGTTGTATGGACTCGAGTATGTGTTGGTCACTATTGGAAGTTGCCAAGCCAGGAGCTCACATCAGATTATCTTTCAAAATGGTTAACTCTGATAATTAAGAATGTACGGGAAGAGAAAGAGACCAGCAGAAAGGGATCTGGCTATCCTAACAGTCCTAAAGAAAAAAACATTTATCGTTAGGCAATGGCAGTGATGGCTGATAAAGAAAAAAAGAATCACAGAAATTTTGGAATGAACAGGACCTAATGACAGAACGAATGCGCAAAGAATGAGAGAACAGGAGAAGGAAGGGCAAATGTTCTGTCCTAATTTTGATACGTGCAGGACTTTCAAGTGCTGAGCAGACTTCCTCCTATACTACACCTGGCATCGGGGAGCTACGGGCTCCTACATTTCCTCCCACCTTTCTGTCTCCTGTGCTCAAGTCAACTAATGTTCCTGCAGTTAGCTCTTATTTTGTCCTTCCTCACTGTTTCCCTTTGGATTGCATTTTCTTCAAGTTTAATGTAGGTAATTCTTCGATTTATAATCTAGCTTTCATTTCTCTTCTGAGCTAAAGATACACATTTCCAATGACCTATTATGCCTAACAGATGGTCCTGTTAAGTGTTCAAATTCCACATATTCAAAAACAAACTAGTCCTTCAAAGGCTGCTTGTTCTCTTAACGCCCAAGTTCAGTTAATTTCATCATCATCCTATTCAAGCACAGTTATGTGACTATTCCCTCTTCTCCACTCCTTATAGTCAGGGATATTTACATATTAAATCTCGTATATTCTTAAAACAAAGTTCCAGTACACATTTTCTAGTATTATTATTCAAAAAGCCCTCAAATTCAGGAAAATTCAGTAGCTGTTGCCAGATAACCCCAATACGTAGCTCTATCACAAGTACTGCTCTGCTAAAAGGCCTTCAGTGGCTCCTTAAGGACTACAGAACACTAAATCCAAACTTTTCAGCATTGCTTTCTGGAAGCGTCACCATCAGGAGCCAAACTATTCTATTAATTGTTTCATTCTACCACCCCTGATACACTCAGGGAGATGGAACATGTTCTTTTCTACATTTCTCAAGCACCACTCTTTTGCTATCATTATTCCTTCCATATTTTATTCAATTCTCCTATTTTTCATATTTCTGCTAGATGAAATATTCCAGTGTACAAGTTAAACAGCTCCTTCACCCTAAAGCATCCTTGGTTGTTCTTAGTCAGAAAGTATCTCTTTTCTAAATTTATGTAGCACTTAATATTTTTATCACTTAGTACTTTTCTTATACACTCAGCACTGTCTAACCTTGATTATATCTATATAACTATATCTATTCTGTCACCATAGCTCCAAACACAGTGCCTTACACAAAGAAATCATACAAAATAGAGAATTAAGTATTAAGTTCACTGAGACAAACCTAATAACCTTTTCACAGACTATGTTATATTAGGTCCAAAGTATGTATCAAGTGTACTGAATGATGTGATCCACTTAAAGTACATTCACAAGCCACGAGGTTTCTTGCCATTTGCAACAACATGGACAGCTCTAGAGAGTATAATGCTAAGTGAAAAAAGTCAGTCAGAAAAAGACCGTTTGATTTCACTCATATGTGGAATTCAAGAAACAGAAAAAACGAACAAAGAAAGAGACAAACTAAGAATCAGACTTTGAACTATAGAGAACAAACTGATGGTTACCAGAGGGGAGGATGGTGGGAGGAGGGTGGCAGGATGGGTAAAATAGGTGATGGGATTAAGAGTGCTCCTGGTGAGCACTGAGTAATGTACAGCATTGCTGAATCCCTACGTTGTACACCTGAAACTAATATAACACTGTATGCTAACTATACTGAAATTAAAAAAAAAGTGTCAGACATTCAAGAAAAAAAATACTTCACAATCAATGATAAATGCTTAAATAAGTGAAATAATTTAAATATACCTATGGCAACCTTTTCATTGTTAAACAACTGAGATGATGTATTTTAAAGAATTAGAATAGAACCACCACAATCTAATTTACATAGTAAACATTTGAGTGCAATACAGGTATAAGTTTAAAGTGATAAATGAGTGATACTATAGCAAATACCTTGAAATTTCTCAAATGAGTTAGCGTACTTTCTGCTTTTGATATTAGTTTTTTATCTTTAGTTAGCAACAATGAAATACTAAATTCTTAAAAGTTGTTAGAACTGTTCCAGAGAATAATCACAAAGCAGTACCTCAAAAACATCGTCGTGATTAACAATATGCTTCAAGTTCTCAGAGGCTTTCATATTTGTAGTCACTGGTAGACTCCCAGGACTAATCTCAGCTTCAGATTCACTGGTCTTCTGTGAAGAGTTTCCTATCATATACTTTTCTCTTTCATCAGCTTTGATTCTTACTGGAGTGGTACTTTCTGAAGTCTATGTAAAAGAAAAGAAAAAATTCATATTCCTTAAAGCTCTGTATCTATTTTTGTACTATAGTTCAGATTAGAATTTAAAAGTAGGGGTGCCTGATTGGCTCAGTAGGAAGAGTATGTGACTCTTGATCTCAGGATCATGAGTTCAAGCCCCACATTGGGTGTAGAAATATCTATTAGGCCATATATGCTCACTTGGGGAGCAGGAGGCCCCCATATATAAAATATATATATTATATATATATTTAGGCCATATATGCTCATTTGGGGAGGAGGCCCCCAAAGGTTCATGAACGACATTAAGCTTTATAATTTAGCTGAGGTTACATTTCACCTCTTAAGCTGCAAAGCTGGCATTCATGAGTGAGTCACTTAGCTCAGCATGCTCGAACTGTTTTCTGCTGATTGTGGAATGTATAGTAACTCTAGTGACATGAGAAAACTTCTGTTTCTGTAATATAATAGGGAGAAAAAAAAGTCCATTAAAGGAACACACACTTTAAGGATCTGTGTGGGTTTCTGAAACATCCCAAGGAAATTGTCATAGCAATTACATTTAAAATTAGAATTGGGTAGAGAGGATCAATGTTATCATGAGAAAAAAATTATTTCCGTAACAGTGAATTTTCTGACATTCCTTATCTTATTCTTGGTTCAGGCAAGCTTTTTTAAAACCTATGTTGATGCTATCTTGCCAACATGGAAAGTCTGTAACCATACTGAAGTGTAATAATAGCAATTAGAGAGTTTGCTGATTATTCCAGCTTTTACTTCAGGTGGCTGAGAACAACACCCTAAATTTGGAAGGACATTATCAGGTATACAAAAAGGACGATTATATCAATTATTATTTTAAAGTTTTTTAAAAAGCTTGAAATAAGTTTTGGCGAATTCTTTTAAATTGAGTTTTCTAACCTTCACACCTACATCATTATTTACAACTTGCTGATCTTCATGTGGTTTCAGATCTTTTCCAGAATCTTCACAAGTCTCTTCATCTTTTAATCTATGTACAATGGTTTGAACAGTTTTGACCATATTCTTAAGCTCATCTGGGTATGGTGTTGGATATCTCTTTAAATTTCCCTCCTAGAGAAACAAAATAAGTAAAATTTAAAATATGAATAAATATTGCTAACATCAACCTCAAAATTTAATCTATAATCCATCTTAATTGCATTGTTATCTGGCTCCTGGGGGTAACTTTAAACACAGATGAAAGGCCACTGAAAGCATTTTAGACACAAGAAAAGTATGGTTTTATCAATAATGAAAGACTTCACAGTTACAGATTTAACTAATGTTTTGAATGCTTTTTTTTTTAGCAGACTTGTATGTATTCCATTTTAAGATTTATGGTATGGATTTTGCCAATACTATCACTTGGCTTCCAAACAGTTGTTTTCCAGCTAGATATTTACTCAGACACATATAAAATTCCTACATTTATATACTGTCTTATGTGCCAGGAACCAAATACTTCCAAAGTCAATCTAATTGTCATTTTCTGGGATTTCTGAATCCCAGAGTTTTATATAAGGTTTATATATATAGTTTATATATATATATATAGTTTATATAAGGGAAAAATAATTATATCCACGAGAAATTTGGAAATGAATTATTACTACTTCTGTCGCTGCAACACAGATTCATAATGTGTTCATAACAAGAGTTCTTGATCCCTAGAATCTAAATAATAAAGTCATTAAAGAAAGGGAAGAGGAAAAACAATCGTGTTTTTCTCTTATTTTTATATCATGAAATTTGGCTTATAATCACATAGTTTTATACTGTTCTCAAATTCTTTCACCTGACATATGTATAGGATCAATAAAACTTAAAGTGCCTTGAGGGCAAGGAATGAAACCGATATTTCTCTGTATCTCCCAAAATGGCACAGAAAGGTAAATAGCACCAAATAAGTCAGTGGACCTGTTTCAAACCTGAAGGAAGAACAGGACTCACCCTGGGAGGTGCCTCCCTTTCATCTTTGTCTTCATCACAATCAAATGCTACTTGAGCCCGCTGTTTCCTCTGTTCCTCCCACAGTGAAGGATTAAAACTTTCATTATCTGATATGAACATAACTAGAGAAAAATAAACAAAAAACAAAAAATCTATATTTTACTGTAATTATGAAAAACCATTACTTTCTCATAATTTTGAGTTACAAACATTAAGATAAGTCAATGCCAGCAGCATTAAATGCTACATTAACAACTAGGCTGTAATTCCAATATTTCTTTACAATATTAATCACATATCTTTTCTTCCCTAAAGCTAATTTGTCTTGTTACCAGAGGGGTTCCTGAAAAGAATCTAACAATCGCAACTCTAAGAGATACGTGATTTTGTGCAGTCCCCACAAAAAGCAGCACGGTAAAATAGTGCTACCTTCAGCAGCACGTATACAACATGGTAATATCTAAACTATTTCATCCAAGTTTTTTCATTCAGAATAATCTTCCCAACTCCAATACTGTTCATTATGTATGGGGAATGAGGAGATAAAGACAAAGTGAGTTATTTGGTTAAAAAAGATTACTCTGATGCCTTGTAATTACATCTTTGCATTATACATTATACTTCATATATAACTTTACTAAGTAAATAAAGTGCTTGCAAGATATTTTCTGTATCAAAATGTAAGGAAAACTGAAAACCTAATATAAATGCAACACTACATATCCTGCTATGCAATATAATATTGAAGGTAAAGATTCAACAACTGTACATTTTTTCGATTAGGCAAGTAAAAAAATCTAAGGCTTAAAAATTAATCCATTTGACTATTATGTATCACCATACTGAAGTTCGTGCAATACAAGATAGTCACAACTGTTTTCTGCCCTCTAAAAGAAATTGACTACACCCGCTCAAAACAAAAGGGAGTAAAAGCACCCAAAATCAGTTAATAGAAAAAATGAAATTCCTGGAATACCTACATGTGGTCAATGTGAATACTCAGGCAAAAGTAGCATAATTATCATTAATTTTTAGTCATTATTGTGGGCTTCTTACCCTTCTTTAATATCATATCCAAACGAAGAATGTCACAAAACCAAATATGAACGGAGAATTGAGTTTTTGTCTTCAGCTTTTCCTTGTTTTCAATATGTGGCTCAAGAATTTTTTTTAAAATAACTTTGTGGCATTAATAGTTAATGAATTAGAAAGTTTGTTTTTGTTTGTCTGTGGAAAGTGGCTCAAATTCCTAGGAATCCCTTTTGACTTTTGTGGTATACTTGGAAAGGCAAGCAGAGCCAAGCAGTTTGCAACAAAGCCTATTTCCATGATTCAGAAAATTCCCCTCCCATCTTAAGCAGTAATTTCAATCACCAGCCTAGTTGAGAAATCTCTTAAGAGTTTTTACATCATGCCAAAGCAATCTTACACCAGAATTTTTTCAGAACCCCAAGGGAAGTAACTTTTACCATGCCTCTAATTCTTGTCAACTTCTGATCGCCTACACTTTCTACCCTTTAGTATAAATTTCACATCTTTTGAGATTCAGGGTATCAAGTACTACTACTACTTTCTCTTCATTTTAGATGCCACCAGACCTGATCACCCTGGCATATTCACTGGAGACTCTAGCATTTGCCTAACAGCCCTTCTCTCCACCTAAAACCTGCCAGTATCTAGAATGATAACTGTGTGTGATTACCCCCCTCTACAACAATTTCACAGGTCTCAATGTTCTCAATTTCAGTGTTCATCTGTACTTCACCAATGCGACTCATAACCATGGTCACAACTCAAAACGTAAGCTTCTGTAAAACTTTCCTCCTCCTTGATCACTACACTCATCCTTTCAAACCATTCACCTCCTTATTATTATTGCTAGTACACTTTGAGTTCCTTACTCTCATTTCTTATTCTTCCTGTAAAACCACTCTAGGTTTTTACTTTCTTTTCTATTCAGCTTAGGTTTAATGATATATTATTTTAACCACTCTCACATTTCTTGCCCCTTTTCCTCAGGTTATACCCATCCAACAAAACCCATAACGTGCTACTTCAATCACCTACCTTCTTTGCTCTGGACTGCTAACTTCTATCAGAGAAAAGTGACATCACCTTGTTGTTTAGAACCAGTAAAAATTTATGGCATTCCCTCATCTTTGCTCCATCTTCAGTGCTGCCCAGGAATCCTTCTATTTATTTCTAGTCAGTCTTTTCTCCCACTACAAATCACTGTCTTCAAAGGCCTTTCCCCCGACCTCTAAAGGAAATTTTCTCTTTGACTTCAATGACTAAAGAAAAGCAATCAAAACACTCAGACTGATAACTCCCCGACCCCTGCAACAACCAGTTTTCCCCAAATTGTTATATGGATGCATACTTCCCATTCAACACTGATTCCCCTATGTAGGCCCCAAATACCATGCCTTCTCTTTCAAATTTATCCATCATTATTCCCCTTTAAAAGGCGAGCTGCTGCTGCTTTTTTTTTTTTAAGATTTTAAGTAATCTCTACACCCAAGGTGGGGCTCAAACTCACAACCCTGAGATCAAGGGTCACATGCTCTTCTGACTGAGCCAATCAGGTGCCCCAAGGACTCAGCATATTATAAGTGTATCTCAGACTTTTCCTTTTAAGACTCTTCTACTCTAAAATACATTTCTCATACCAAAAATTCAAAGGAGCAAGATTTTATTTATTTATTTGAGAGAGAGAGAGATAGCGAGAGCAGGAACACAAGCAGGTGGAGTGGGAGAAGGAGAAGCAGGCTTCCTGCCGAGCAGGGAGCCTAATGTGGGGCTCGATCCCAGGATGCTGGGATCATGACCTGAGCTGAAGGCAGACGCTTAACGACTGAGCCACCCAGGCGCCCCGCTACTTCTACTCTTTGTATCACAAATTCATTTCTTACCTGAACTACGCCCTGTTTTAGAAACAAAGAGGGAATAAATTAAACTGATAGAAATGATAGGAGGCCAAGTAAATCTGAATCATGAAAAGAGAAGACAGTAAGAGAGATCAAGGCATGAGTATACCCATGATTAGAACAGTTCTGAGCAGGAGTCACAAAACTTTTTCTGTAAATGGTTAGATAATAAATATGTTAAGCTTTGTGAACCAAGAGACAATATCAAGGATACTACAGTAGGTATTATGAGAGAAATCAAATTTCCAAAGATTACTGACAAATTTAAAATATACTAATAACTGAGTACCATTTTTTGTTATATAGTGAATGAGAAGACTAAAGTTCTTACTGTTGGAGTAACATTTTGCTTAACTGGTACTATCATCAAACTGATGTAAATATTCACCTGTAAAAACTATTCTTAGTTTGTGGGCCACACAAAAACAGGTAGCAGGACAGATACGGCCCATGGGCCACAGTGTGTCAATCACTCTTATTGGAACAAAAAGTGTTATGACAGAATATATTTATCTTGATTGTTTCTTGGAAGGGCCTTCAATGGTATCTCACAATTGTGTATTTAACAGTTTAGTTCAGAGGCACATGGGTGGCTCAGTCAGTTAAGCATCTGCCTTTGGCTCAGGTCATGATCCTGGAGTCCAGGGATCGAGCCCCATATTGGGCTCCTTGCTCAGCTTCTCTTTCTGCCCTTCATCCCACTCGTGCTCACTCACTCACTCTCTCAAATACATAAATAAAATCTTAAAAAAAAAAACAAACCAAAACACAACAGTTTAGTTCATTACTCAAATAAAAAATACATATATGCCTTTGCCTAGTTTTATTCATTGTTGGAATCATGTTTGGTTATTTTAGTGTTAGTTAAAATGAAAGGAAAATAACATTCTGAAGCTTCTATATCGCAGTAACAAAAGCAGGTAGACAAAGCACTAATAACACATAAATATAATAAAAATATCAAAAATTAAGTATGTCCTTTGGAGACTTTGGTTCCATCACAAGGGAAAAGGTAATTTTGTTTGAGAATCTTCCTTCAGAATGAGATCTGTATTGAATTTCTAGTAATTACCAGTTTTTATTATTTTTCTGAAATAAAAGCAGCAAAATGAGAATAAGAACGAATTTTCCCAATATTCCTTTTCTACTCTTTAGGACAGGGACAAAAAGCTATTAAATCTGGCCCACTTCCTGTTTTTGTATAGCTTACAACCTAAGAATGGTTTTAAAATTTTTAAATGTTGGGGCAAAGAACCCAAAACATAAAAAATTATTTCAGGACACATGAAAATTACATGAAATCTAAATCTCGGCCCATAAATAAAATTTTATTAAAACACACCTATGCTCATTTGTTTATATATTGTCTGTGACTGTTTTTGCATGAAACAAGCAGCATCAAGTAGCTGCAACAGGAAAGTATGGTCTTCGAAGCCTATAATATTTATTAAATGGTTCTTTACTTAAATAATTTCTAACCCATGCAACAAGACATTAAAGTCTTTTCTCTACACTAAGAATTCATTCATTTCCTCACAAATATTTTAAGTATTAGCATTCTATCTTCCCACATAAAAGAACAACTACTTGAGTATATTATGTAGCTGACTGTAATACTATTAGAAATCACCTTCAGAGAGGAAGTGGAAAATTGAGACATAAGTCCCAGTGACTATGATGAACAAGGAAAAAAACACCTACTGATGTATCCAAACATTCATTATAATTCCCCACAAAGCACAAACAGGGGCCTAAGACATTGCTGCTATATCTATTTTGAACTTCTGAATTTTCTTTTTTTTTCTTGGTAATCTCTACGCCCAATGAGGGGCTTGAATTCAGGACCCTGAGATCAAGAGTCACATGCTCTACTGAATGAGCCAGCCAGGTGCCCCTGAACTTCTTAACTTCTAATGCACATATAAAGTACTTGCATAAAACAATACTTCAACATTATCTAAAATGAAGTATACTACATTTTGTTATGAATACATTTCCAAACTATATTGCTAAATATGGAAATTGGGGGTTGATTTAAATATATGAAAGAGGGATCATGCTTACAAACCTATTCTCTAAGCATTAATTACAGATCCCCAATGAAAGAGGCTATTCACATCTGACTTCTCACAAGTCTTAACTTTTAATTCAATTCAAAAGCTAAATAGTTTTGCTTCACCCAAATAAATCTCATTAAATAATTCCCATGAAACGATAACTTATCAAAGTAAGTCTTTTATTCCTTCTTGCAAAGAATAAGAAATAATTAGCAAAGATAAATGAGTCCTCTATCACCAATAATGGAAAAGAAATTAAATGATTTTAGTTTTTAATCTATTTAAGTATTTCAAAACTATTTGCTAAACCTGCCAAAACAATGTAAAAATAATAACAGCCAATTTGATTCTATCATTGTGCTAAGCACTTTACATTCAGTGCTTCTCATCTGTACAAAAACCCTGCAAAACGGATACTATTATCATTATTCCAAGATAAGGAGACTGACGCTCAAGAATTTATTTAACTTGCTTGTGGTATATTTTATAAATTAAAATTAATGATTAAGCTAGATTTTTTTCTGCAGTATTTTTATGTATTAAGAGTTAATTTAGGAGCGCCTGGGTGGCTCAGTCGTTAATCGTCTGCCTTCGGCTCGGGTCATGGTCCCAGGGTCCTGGGATGGAGCCCCACATCGGGCTCCCTGCTCCGCGGGAAGCCTGCTTCTCCCTCTCCCACTCCCCCTGCTGTGTTCCCTCTCTGTGTCTCTCTCTGTCAAATAAATAAAATCTTAAAAAAAAAAAAAAGATTTAATTTATAAATAACTTTGGGCCATAAAGATTTTCACTGGTTTCAGAAAAATATCCACATAAAAATTGTATTTTTAGGTGTAACATAAAGTATACATTACACACAGAACACATAATCATAACAACATGTATTAAAGATAATTTGCTCCTTTGTCTAAAAGGCTTTCATACCAAAACTGCTGAAAAACATGTGTGGCCAATAGTAAAGTGTATATATTCCCCTTTCTAGGCAAAACATAAGAACTTGGAAATAACCTTTTATTCAGAATTCTACAAATTACCCTTATCTGGTATGTAGGTCCAAGGGTAGTATTACTACAACAAAAGTGAACAAAGTATTTCCTGGTTCAACAGTCCTAATTACATTAACACTTGACATGCTGCATTCCTAACATTTAGCTGAAGAACAGAGAGACCTATTACAGATGATGTTGACTGTTTAATTTCAAGGAATCACTTTAGGAAGCATATGGTCTACATATACCTCTAACTTCAACTATCTATAACCCCGAGATACTGACTTATTTTCTCATTTTCAGAAATTTATTGACCAATTCTCCAAATTCCCTTTAAGCTAATAAAAGTTTATGAGACGTCCTTATATCAGTGAGATCATATGACACATGTCTTTCTCTGATTTATTTCGCTTAGCATAATACCCTCTATTCCATCCACATTGTTGCAAATGGCAAGATTTCGGTTTTTTGATGGCTGCATAATATTCCATTGTATATATACACCACATCTACTATGGACTCTGAGAAACAAATTGAGGGTTCTAGAGGGGAGGGGGGTGGGGGGGATGGGTTAGCCTGGTGATGGGTATTAAAGAGGGCACATTCTGTGTGGAGCACTGGGTGTTACACACAATGAATCATGGAACACTACATCAGAAACTAATGATGTAATGTATGGTGATTAATGTAACATAAAAAAAAAGTCTGTAAGACTTAAAATTAACTTCACACCTATGCTGTGATTTGTTAGTTATTTGAATTTTTAAAAGAAAAGAAATTCTTAAGTTCCTACCATCCTCAGTCCTTGGCTGCTGAGGGAACATGTAGTTAGTAAGCACCATTTTCTGGGTCTCTGAATCAGTCTCTTTTTGAAGAGGTATCAGGGGTTTGGACTAGGGAAAGAAAATAAATGTTTAATTTTCAATATTCCTAAAGCAAACACATATCCAGCAATTCTTTCTATAAAGTACCAATGTGTAGATTACAAAAGTAAGCTTATATATACATAAAAAACTTTTAAGCACTGATTTGAAACCTTGTAAGAATCTTAAAAAAAAACATTTAGTTTTTAGTATAAAACAAAACTCATACTGTATTGCAATTATCACTGATTATTTTAATTTTATTTTATTATGTTATTAATGCAATTTAAAAACATCTCACATACCAAGTATACCACAGTCCAATAATTACTTATCACAGTGACTTCATAAAGCTATAAAACAAGCCTTTCCATTTTACATTATTGTGCTCCCTTTATGTTATCGTTCCCCTTTGGGAAGAGGCTTTTATAGAAATGGTTTAGAAGGTTTAGTCTAGTTATCTGCAGATTAATTCTAACTGAAAACAGAGGACTTAAAACAAATATTAAGTTGTAACCTGCTTCTCTCTTCTGTCTCCATCAATGGTACCATAAGTAACTCAGTGGTGAAACTATAAACCCCGTTATTTTGGACCTCATTTTTTCTTAAGCCTTCTTTCCTAACTGGTTATAAAGTGTTTTCAATTTATTCTTAATTTAACTAATAACTTTTGCCAGCCTATTAACCTAAAATCTTACCAATCCAAGCCTTGGTCAACTCCAAACAGGGAGGGAACTACCCAATCTCTCCCTCACCTCCCACCCTAGCATAATTAAATCTTTACACTTTTGTGAAAACTTTGCAACTATTTAATTCCATCCTATAATCTTACTCCCATTCAATCATTTCCTCCATACCCCTCAATTTTTCCGTGGTAAACAAACTGCCCTGCATCTCAAACATCTTCACTGAAAACTTTCCTTGACCTCTTCAGATAACAGAAATGGTAGATCATCTATTCCTTCCCCAAAGACAGTGCTCCCCTTAATATACTGGGGTGCTCATTTCCCATAGCTTTTAAAGGGTTAGGTGGTAGATTCAGAGCTTACAAATGCTGTGAGATCATCACTCTTAATCACTCTTATCCCTTCAAGTATAAACACCTGTTCTTTTTTTTTCTTTTTTAAGATTTTATTTACTTACTTGACAGAACACAAGCAAGGGGAGTGGCAGGCAGAGGGAGAGGGAGAAAGAGGCTCCCCACTGAGCAGGAAGCCGGATGCGGGCCCTGATCCCAGGACCATGGGATCATGACCTGAGCCAAAGGCAGACACTTAACCGACTGAACCACCCAGGCGCCCGATAAATACCTGTTCTTTTGAGGGATATTCAACTGTGCCTCTACCATTCTGAACTCTGCTTCTGCCTTTCTATCTCCTTTCCTAATATCCACTGACCTCTGGTAGTATCCATCTATTCTTGATTCTTTTATGACAAATCTTTCCACAGTCATGGATAACTCAACAGATATAAAATGTAAATGACATGGTCATTCTCTTAAGCCACTGATGTCTTAGCAGATGGGGAGGCTCCTTGCTCAGCGAGGAGTCTGCTTCTCCCTCTCCTTCTGCCACTGCCCCTGCTTGTGCTCTCTCTCTCTCTCTCTCAAATAAATAAAATCTTTAAAACAAACAAACAAACCGCCCCTGAAATGGTTCTAAAATTAACTGTGGTAATAACTGCACAATTCTATAAATACATTAAAAGCTTCAATTGTACACTTTAAAATGGATGAATTGTATGGTATGTGAATCGTATTTCAATGAAGATGTTATAAGAAAACTAATCATCTGTTATATATGGAGTACAAAGACAAAAAAAGAAATTGAGAACTATTTACCAAGCCTCTCCATTCCCTAAAACACTAACTCTAGTGACCTCTGTTCCTATTTCTTTTTTAAAATTTTATTTTTTTAGTAACCTCTACACCCAATATGGGGCTTGAACTCACAACCCTGAGATCAAGAGTCTCATGCTCTTCTGACTGAGCCAGCCAGGCACCTCTCTATTCCTATTTCATTTCAGATATTCATACTACTCCCTTGCCGTAATTCCCACAATATAGCCAATAAATATTCATCCTTTGAAATCTAAAATCATTCATTCAACAAATATTTACTTATATTTGCCCTTTATATGCCAAAGTACTATGACAGGCACCAGGTATACAGTGGTCACTGATTTGGGAGAGCTTACAATATATGAGAGGAAAGATAGGGATAACAAAATGAGATATTACAACATGATTTAATTACAGGTTAGAGAGTACAGGGAGCTAACAGAACACAAAGAAGGTGTTCACTTATCACAGTCTTGAGTGATTAGGAAAGCATTCCTGAGAGAATGCCTTCCTACACAATGAATAGACATTAACCAGGTAAGAAGGGGGAGAGAGAATGTTCCAGGAGAGAACTCATTTGGGGATATGAAAATGAAGGTGTAAGGGATAGAGACGAAGATAGAGGATGAGCAAGGTCTTGAAGGATACAATATGAGAAAGGAGAAGTCATGAAAAGGTTTTAAATAGATTAGTGCTAGAACCAGATAAATGGATCATTCGTATCGTGGTTCAGAATGAAATCAGGGTGATATGAGACTGGAAGTGGTGCCAACACTGGAGGCAGAGACCTGTTAGGAATCTCAATAGTCAAGTCAACACCGTCCAGCATAAATACAAAAGTGAGACTAAAATGAGAACCACAGATAATTTATAAATTATTGGCAGCTGCATGTTTTTAAAAAGCAAAAATAAGTTAAATTTTGATAATGCATTAAATTTAACATCCTGTATATTTAAAATATAATTTTGATGTGATCAATAAAAATTGCTAATGTGATATTTTACTTTCTTTGTTTATACTACATATACAAAATCCAGTGTGTATTTTACACTTAGAGCACATCTCAACTTGGACTACCTACATGACAGTAGTGCCTACTGTACTGGACAGTGCAGGTCTAAGTAAAAGATGATACACTACATGATGAACAGTAGTTAAGAATTATACACCCAAGTCTCTGTCTCTAGCAAGGATTTTTTACTGATCTAGGGAACCCAGGAAAAGAGAAAGATTTAGAGCAGAGGATGGAATGTTCACCTTTGACCTAGCTGAATTTGAGACATCTAGGTGGCAATGTTAAGTAGACAATGTGCAGTTCAGGAAAAAGAACTGAGCTGAGGATAACTGTTAGGAATAATGGGCATACAGAGAGTAATTGCATCTTTCATAGAGAAAAGTATAGGAAAAGAAACTAAAGAAGAACCTAGAGTACTACATGGGGCACCAACATATAAAAGACGGGCAGAAGAAAAATTCCTGAAAAGCAAACTGAGGAGTGGTCAATCACAAGGACAACCAGGAGAGAATGCTAAGACAGACACCATGTGGTGCTCTCTCCAGTGTTCCACAATACTTGCTAGTCAATTTCACCAAGACTGACACTCCCTTGAACTTCCAGCTTTATCACCATCATTCTTTCTTGTCTTTGCTTCTCTTTGTACCTCACTGGATCTCATTATAACCATTTTCTTGCCAATTACCAAGACCTCCTTGGTGCATTGTCTTTTACACCTGGCCTGGCAAAGCTGCAATCCAGAATCATACCAACCGTGTGCTTTCTCTGTATCACACAATTTAGCAAATTAGTATGAGTTTGTGGTAACCAACTTCCAACAGGGATATCAATGTTGCCTGAAAACCCTTCCCACGTTTCCTAAATTATACTTGAAGATACTATTTTCTAAAAGATTAAAAAAATAGGATTTAAGAACTGCTTGGAAACTGCTACATTCTAAGAATTTCAACATAAACATTATTAGCTCTCCTTCTCACAAACATCAGACCAAGCTGCCTTCAAAAGGACAAGAGTTCCCGCCATGGTTTTTTTGGTTTTTTTTAAAGATTTTATTTATTTATTTGACAGAGAGAGAGGGAGGGAGCACATAAACAGGGGGAGCGGCAGGCAGAGGGAGAAGCAGGCTTCACGCTGAGCAGGGAGCCCGACACAGGGCTCGATCCCAGGACCCTGGGATCATGACTTGAGCCGAAGGCAGATGCTTAACTGACTGAGCCACCCAGGTGTCCCTCTACCACAGTTTTAAATTCTATCAGTTACACACCAGTTATCCAACCCCCTCTCATATTCTTAATCTCATTCTCCACACAGCCTCCTTGCAACAACCTATAAAAATGTTCTCTAATACTAAAGGATTCTTTTTTTTTTTTTTAAAGATTTTTATTTATTTATTCATGAGAGACAGAGGGAGAGGGGGAGAGAGAGAGAGAGAGAAGGAGAGGGAGAAGCAGGCTCCCAAGGAGCAGGGAGCCCGATGCGGGACCCGATCCCAGAACGCCGGGATCATGACCTGAGGTGAAGGCAGACGCTTAACCATCTGAGCCACCCAGGCGCCCTAAAGGATTCTTTCTTACACTGCCCCTAGCTACAAGTTTATGTTCCACTCCTCTTCTTTCTCATCCAACCTTCTTAAAAGCTCAATCAACAACTGTATGGCTCCATTCTCTCATTTATTCATTTCTTAAATCGCATCAATTGGGTTTTTGATGTACACCTCTAAAACTACATTAGCTATAGTCAAAATAAGTTGGCAAGTTAAGTATAACTTGACAAAATATAATGCATATTTTCCAGATTTCATCTGAACTGACCCCTCAACTTAGAACTTCTTCCTTTAAGCCAATTGCCTCATCCCTAACTTGAATCTACTATCATATAGTTTCTCTTCTACCTCTATGGCCACTCTTTCTTAGCCTATTAATCCACCTGCCACTTAATGTTAGTAATAAATGTATGTATGTTTGTATGTTAGTATTCCTCAGGATTCATCCATCTCTAACAATTAAATAAATAAATTCAGAGAATTCCTTTTGAGAAAGTAATAAAAGCTATGAAACCACTCCCTAAAAAAAGTGATTAAGATGATGGGCTGAGCTCCTATATCTCTTCTTGTGACAGAAATCTTTAAAAAAATTTTCTTAATAAAAAAAACAAAAGAAGGATGCCTGGGTGGC